GGGGGATCCGAACATGGAGCAGGATTTGTGGCCAAGATCAGACCCAACAAAGCCACTTCTGCCTTGCTGCTCGGGGCAGGATGGCACCAGTAGGTACAGATCATTTTGGTAATTGGGAAGACAGCCCAGGGGGCAAGAAAGGTCAAAATTTTACCTTAAAAGGTAAAAAGTAACCTGCTAAAATGGAATGTGTAAACAGGGGCGGGAAACTTGAGGGTAATTTGAAGCGTCAGGTAGGATGCAAACCCTGGAGTACCCAGCCAGTGGGGAAACAGGGGAGGGAACTTTGTGTCGGGAATAGGGATCATAAACCGTTATTCACCTTACTGTGGGTGTGCTGCTTGTTTAGGTCACCCGTTCTTGCAGGAGTGTAAACAAACTGTGCTTGGCTGAAGGATCTGTGTGGGCCTGTTCATTGGTGTGACAAACGTTCCTCACAAACAGCCTGGTGACCCCCTGAATTCAGCTTCCTGAAGGCCCAGCAGACCTCCACGCAGCTCCCCCAGCCCCAGCCGGGCTGCGGGAGGCCGGGGGGCGGCCGGGCCGAGCAGCGTGAGCTGCAGCCACAGAAGCCAGGCTAAGTTGTGGAAAATAAAGGCCGTTCCATACATCCGCTTCTTAAGTGCCTATGACAAAATGCAGTAAGCCAAGAGCTTTTGATGGAAGCCTTGTCTTTTTTTTTTTGTCAGCCTTAAAAAATACCGCTTTAAGATCTGATAGAGTGAAAGGCCAAAACCAATGCTAGACTTTAATAGGTGACTACGCAGCCCAGCCTTGGCTTTCCATCTCCATAAAGAAACAAAATTTAGAAGTTTCAAATGGAAATGACCCTGCTGTTCCCATAGGCACTCATGATGTGCCCTTTTGACCCTATTTGCCCTTGCATGACCCCTGCTCTCCCACTGCTGCTCCCGAACAGCAGTGAGCAGAAAGAAAGCCTGTCAGGCAAAGAGAACCAAGACCCAGAGAGTTCACAAAGACTCAATGCAGAAAAAAAAACCCAAAACAATGAACAAAACCAAAACAAAACAGAAAAAAGAAGCCTTGTTACATACAATTGCAAAACCTGAGTGAGTTCCTTCTTGTGCTCCTGGCAACAGGAAGAAAACCAGTGGTAAGTGTGGGTGGTGGGTGAAGCACAGAAGGGATGTTTCAGAGTAGCTGGAGCTGTGGGATTCACTCAGACTTCATAAAGGTGGCTTGTTATTTTCTTCCGTTGTTTTTTTTGTCCTTCATGTGAAGTTACAGCATTAACGGAGTAAATTTTGTGACTTTTTTCCCCTGTGCTTACTTAATTGATTTTGTAACCGACAGCCATGATTGAAAAAGGGTCTTAAAAGATCTGCTCAGACAATGTTATGTTAGGTACTGCACAGCAGGATGGGGACAGGGCACTGCTTGGGGCTTCATTAAGTCCACCAAGCCATAGCTCTGCAGCTGCAGGTCAGTGAAGGCTGCACAGACCCAAACCATGAACCAGCTCACTCTCCCCTAAACTCTGCACAAGCTGCCTGCTTCAGGGCACTACTTTTTACAGAAGATGCTGTTTATCTATGACTAAGCTTAGAACATCCTTACGGACGTCCCTGAGTTAGCTCTGAAGCCACAAGCTGATGCTCAGATTTTTACTGTGCGCTCTGCGAAGCGGTTGCAGCTTTCATCTTGCTCTGAGCTGCCATGGCTGAACTGCTTAGCAGTGCACAAGAGACCAGGCACCACAAGGATACTATCACACCCAATGTGCAAACACTTTTTCAGCTAGTTTAATGACAACAAATAATTCACTGAGCTAAGATAACAAACTGTTATCGGTGCAAAATTTTACTGCAATATGTGTGTGCTTTTAAGTGGCGAAGTCAGAAAAGATGCCCCACCCTCAGTGTGCAAAAATAAAAACAAAGGAAGAGTCCAAGTAGGTCAGTGACAGTGGAATACATGTTTTCGTAGGGAATTTAATTACTGAAGCTATGTGCTTTTGCTCACAGCACTCTCGTGGAAGAGCTTCAGCAGACTTGAGGGCAAGCAATGACTGGACAGACTTACATCAGGGTTTTCTCTGCTAAAAACAGATCTTCTTGAACCATGAAGAGTAAAATATGTGGGAGACATATTTTAATAAATAATAAATGTAAGGGCTAGTTCAGCATTTTCTCTGAGAGAGTACGCTGCACTGCAGCTCCTATCATCTGAGTAACTGTAACACAGCCCAGTATAATGACACATTTATCTAACAGACAAAGTTTTCATATTTTACATGTTGTACTTGCTGTAAATTTATTACTATTTTACAGTTGAAAATATAAATATAAGAACATTAAATAAATTTACAAGAAATGGTGCAAAGGCAGTTAGCCAAATAGTTAAAGCATTCACGTAAATGCATTCCAGCTACTAGCATTCCAGAATGGTATTTTATTAACATGCAGTTAAAACCTTGTGGATAAATACAACAAATATTTTAATTTCTCACTTTAAAAGCATATTCAGAGCGGTCCTGGACATAGGTGACCAAAAGAACCCACACATTGCATACTAAACCCCTAGACGTTTTGAGAACTGAAGAAGTTCAATTCCTGAGCCACAACTAAATCCCAGACAGGAGAAATTTAACTCATGCTCTTTGTTGAGAAGAGTGTTTCCAGGGCTCTCTACCAAGACCTCTAGGAAAGCAAAGCCCTTGCTTCCTACCAGCAGCATGCATCTGCCCCAAAAAAATCCCCCTTAGAGGATCTGGCATTCCACAGTATGGTGCTGGTTTTTACTAGCTCTTGCTCCAGGAGTATCCAACCTTCATCCAAGAAACACAAGGGAAAAAAAAGAAATGGCCACAGCTACACTTGTGTGAGGAAGAGGCACAACCAGGGCTCAGGCTAATCTGTTCAGAAAGAATCTTCCCAATGTTGTGTGGGCTTTCAGCTGTTGTGCATGGACAGCCAAAATCCAGCTTTTCCAGATAAGTATCACAAAGGGACTTAAATTCTTCTCCAAGAATTACAGAGCTAAGGCCTCAGGATTCGGCTTGCCAATCAAGGGCCAAAGTACAAGCAGAAATAGTCATTAGGAATAGCTCAAGAGCTGTCCTTTTAAAAGCTGACAATTTCTTGGCTACTAAATATAGCAGGTAGCATTTATTATCTGTTTGGCTGGGTTTTTGGTTTGTTTGGTTGGTTTGTTTGTTTTCAAAAATAACACCTCTACTTTCCTTTATCATTGCAAATGAGAAATGGCAGTGTGTTTAATCTCTGGAACCAGCATTCAAGATAAAATATTCCCACTGACTTACTCAAGCCACTAACACAACTTAGCTGTATTTAATTACCTACTAACTACTTTATTTATCACTTTCTCATTCATGGCACTCTGCTTTAATGACACCTAGTTTCTATCCTGTCTGTGGTGTACTAAGAGGTCACCAAAGCGTCAAGACCGATAGTGTTTATATTTACAGTTCTGTATCTAATGAACATATTTAAACTCCTGTAAGTGATTTAACTTACTGAACAAATTAAGTTCTTCTATGTTACAGTTAATTATCTCAAAGAAAAATGCAAACTTAGAATAAAAGTTAAAACATAATACCAATTATTCCTATACATAGGAATACCTGAATTTATATTACAAGAAATAAATATAAAAGTATCATTAAGATGCCTAATGGCTGATATTTTTCAGCTTATGTACATCACTAGCAAGTTGCTACTACAACATACAAAAAGTTGAAGACAGCATAGCTAGAATTTTTAAAGATAGCATCGTTCGTATGCACACATTTTCACTTCCTACATTTATACAATACTACTATGCATAATACCCAGATAAACTTAGTTGTAAGGAATTAAATCTAAGCAAAACCTTCTTTTAAATGTAAAAAACCTCAAAAAAACCTCTAATGAAAAATAAAAATGTAGATGTGCCAGCTGTAATTTGAGATCCAAGATACCTTGTCGTAAAAGTAGCTTCCTTTCCCACCCCACCCCCACCCATAATTGTCCTTGTCAATCCATTGCATGGCTGCCTTCAAGTTTCAGTACCATATATTAAATAAAATCAGTTCTTGGTCTGCTCACATTATGTAGAACTGTTAAAGTAAATCTCTACTTCACACTGTGAAACAAAGTGCTGTATAAAAGGAAATCACATTTTCTCAACAAGATTTAGTTTTCCCTTCTTTGGAGTCCTTCTTTGGAGCGAGATATGGTTTTTTTGGCTGCCTGTATCATCCTTTTCTTGTAATACAAGTTTTTTGCCTGAAAAGTCATGGAGACACACATCACCATTGTGTTTAATGAAAGAAACACCATTCTTCTCACTGGACAGATAGCCTGTTGAAACAAAAAAGCGTACCCTCTTTCAAAAAGGTTCAGAGTCAAGTCTCCCATGCTATTTCAGTCACCATAGGGAGTTCATGCACTCTCTTTTTATCCCCGCAACAATTTCAAAAAGTGGGACTTTTCTGTAGATATTTTATATATACATAAATTTTTTTCCTGTGTGTAATCAGTAAGAATTTGAGATGTTGTTAGATCTATACACGATAGGATTCCATATTTTAAGGAGAGAAGATCACCATTTTCAGAATGTAGACATTAACTTGGAATAAGTATCACCAGATAAGTTACAAAGCCCTTATCTTTCTAGTTTTGCTTTATCAAGTTATATTTAAAAGGTTTCTCAGGTTTGCCATGCTGCTGAAATAAGAAAGCATTTAAGAAAACAAGGATTTTTTTATTATTTTTTTTTTCCTTTGCAAGGCACTCAGCAAGTAGCATTTATTTCTGGAGGACAATCAGAACATGTCCAAGTTCCAGTCATGGGTCTAAGCCATATTTAGACTGAGAGTCTTACACATTTAGGTGAATCTACAACAGACACGTATAATATAATTGCTGATTGCAGCCTATTAATTACATGTTCCACAAATGCTCAGTTGACTGGGCAGAATCTCCTACCTCTATGCATCACATTCCAGATAACTTTAATAAGAATTAGGATTTTTTATGGTAAGTATTGGTGCAAATGCTGCTTGTTGGATTTATTTATTTATTTGTTTGTTTATTTATTTGGTGAGCAGTAAAGTGTACAAGATCTGCCAGGATCCTGATACCACATGTATTATTATCAGTAGGAGTAACTTACAAGAAATACCACCATGGGGAAACCAAAACCAGTACTAGTGTTTCTTTTGGGAGGATATAATTCTTTTAAACACTGAGAAATGAGCTCAAGAACACAGATGTAGGGCTGTAATTTATAATTCGTACCAGAAACACAATAAATAAAAACATAAAACATGTAAGTTTGGTATTTGTGTTAATATTCACAACCCTTCATATACAAACATGATAATTGTTTCAGTGAAGCTACTGAAAAGACACAGGAGTGAAGGTAGAAACTGCTTGCAGTTTATGGTTTTACCAGGAAGAAAAACACTGGTGAGAAACCTCTAGTCAGTGAAAGACGACTAGTACAGCAATCAAAATCTGCTCCTCTCTAGTACGCTTGGATTCAATTCATCAAATACCTGCAATATCCTGAAGCAGAATCCAGTTTTGGCTCTGCCCTCCCCTTTTCACTCTCTCACTACCTCAAGCTTCTGAACACCCCCAGAAAGGCTAGGGCCACATTATAGGATGCTCTTGTTGGGGTCACCAGAGGGAGAAGTATTTGGTGACATCCCTTCCCTGCCTTAATTCCTCTTACAGAAAGGATTCTGCTGCTTGAGTGACTGGGCAGGATTGCTCTTCTCTATTCTGCTTTGGCCAGGGCTGCCAAGCACACAGTTTTGGTGTTGGTCTACCCAAACTCTTTCTCTAGAAACTTATGCTTCACTTCAGGCAGACTTCATACCTTTCAGCAGTTGCCCTGCTGATTCAAGGAGATGTCAGCAGATCAGTTGCATCAAAGTCTCATTGGCAAACTTTTCTTTGGAATGAGAGGTGGCATTTTTTAAATAAGCTGTGAACATTTGTTCCTAGTTGATAAAGCTTACTACCACTTTGAAAATGTAATGCATAGAACTTAAATTTGTGGTGACAAAGGTTACAAATTCCGTGCCAAACTACTGAGCAGCTACTGGCCTCATAAAACAGAAGCAACAGCCCAACAGGTTGTGTAAAACCTCTTAAATATAAAGTCTAATATTTAATTATTAAAAGGCCAACAAACACTCAAACAGATGCAAAGGTAAACAGGGTAAGATGAGCAGAAGAGTTTTGTTAATTGATTCAGATCAGATAAAGGATGAAATGACAAAAAATAACCACACTTGCTAACACTGTAATTGTGCATATATCGTTTTTTAAAACCCCTGCCTGACCACAACTATTTTATTTTAGAAGGAGAGTACAAAATAGTTGTGCCCTAACATTAGAGCAGAATCTGAGAAGAAAATAAAGCCATTCTGTGAACAAATTCAGAAAAGTAGTTTCTGTTCCTCAGTGAGGAAGTCTGCAAGTTCAGCCATGTGATACCTAATGGTAGTTTCTTAAACAGGCAAACCTGTAAAAGAAAAACCGAAAACAAGGAAATATTAGTATGCCATGGCCATGAAGAGATGAAGTTATACAGTCTGGTGGGCAAGTAAAGCCACAGGCTGTAAAGACTCTCCAAATTCACCATGGCAAGTAATTCAATCCTGCATCTGGAATAGCATTTTGGTGGAAGCAGTGAGGTCAAAACATTAACTGATTACAGCTCAGTAGTTTTATGACACAGGTCTTACTTATTCTAAACAATCTAACTGATGGCATGACATCTGAGCCTCAACTCTTCATCGATTGGGGAAAAATACCTCAGGCACATGGGAGTAATGTCCTGTACGTTTTGCTCAACTTAGGCTTTATACATTACAGATTTCTAAGTTATTTTTCTCTTTGAAAAACTGATTGTCTTTACTGAGAGCTCAAATCAGCAGCATGATGTGTGTCCAGCAAGAGTGTGAAAAACTACATTATGTCCATTGAGAAAAGATCATTCTTTAATAAGTATTCAGTGAGGATGCATATCTAGTTTTCTTGATAGATAAATAAGCCACACCAATTTGTAAGTGAAACTGATTGGGGTGCTACACACACCTGCATTTCAAGCTCTCACAAACAGAGCAGAGGTTAACAATTAGAGGCCAATACTGTGTCAGAAGAGGAAGGATAGAAAATTTTGCTTCTGAAAGGTAGGCAAAAGCATCCTTAAAAGGCCCACAGGAGAAATAAAGAGCCACAGAGAAATTCAGTTTCAGTACTTACTCTGTAGCCAACAGTAAGGCAGCCCTCTCAGCAGTGCTCTCTTCACTGAGGTTATTTTATAAACTAGTCTCCTTTCTCTTACTTCTCTCACAAGCAGCTTCCATGTGAGCATCCCATTAATGTTCTCCCTCATATGACTCGCTACATGATTGTTTTCATACTTTCAATCCGTGTTATTCTCCTGTATTTCTTTCTTCTTCAGGCAATATTTATTTTAATAAAGTTTAAAATATGAACTGTTTTAAAACATGCTTGAAGTTTATTGTCATATATTCACATGACAACAAAAGTGGTAACAGCAGCTTCTGGTAAGTGATAGCTCTAATAACTAACATTGCCTCCTATTTGAGATATAAATCAAGAGTTCCTACAGAGTAGGAGAAATCAGTATTTTAAAACTTTGTCCATAGTTCCCTAAAAGAGATGTGTGGTATTATTTGTGAGGACATCTTGAAATATTCAGAGCCTATGCTCATGAATATTTTGTCAGCACTTCTCAATAGCATGAAAGAGCATAGCACTTCTATTTTAAGACACGAAAAAAAGAGCTTGAGAAATACTATTTTGCATTATACATACCATTTCCATTCACATGCAGTGAATAATCACTATTCATTAGTAGTGTAGTAGAGATAGTGGAGTTACTGGTTGATTGCAAGGAATGAGAAGAATTGAATACTCCTTGATTTACAGTCTGTTTCCTTAAACGATTAGCAGGAGTTCTACTCCAATCTACAGTACATACATGTTAAATAAATTAGCACAAGTCATACAAGCAATATATAAAAATATAGCTAATAATGCAATTGAATTAAAATTAAAACAAGGCTTTACTCACTCCCCTCACAGTATTCTAGACAGAATTATATTCTCATAATAATTTAATTAATTTTTATGTTTACAATTATTTAAATTGTTCCCTTTTTCTCTTGTCCCTTTTTTAAGACAAGCAGCCAACTGTCATAGTTTTACAACTGCAGACCAGATCAGAAAAGTAACTACAGTATAGTTAATCCTTTAAGTTAAAGCGTATAAAAAGTATATAGCTTTATGAGAAGTCAACTATGGAATAATAAAATAATATAAAATAATATAAAATAATATATTGTTTTTATAGTTCAAACTATGCTTCACCCTGTTTTTGTGGAAGTCAATGGTAAAACCACAGTTGACTCAGAAGCAGGAACAAATCTTACAGTTTCTAACTGATCGAAAGTCTTTTGCAAAGACACACCTTTATGCTGCACTGGAAGAGATCCAATTACTATTAACAGCTTAATGCAACAGTATGTTAGCACCTAAGAAATGCATCAACTACCACCTTTAATGAGTATAATTTTGGAGTTTTATTATAGCTTGCATAACAAATTAGAACTGCAACTGTAGCAATATGTTTTTTTGATATTTTTTTTAAGTATTACAAATACTAGGAAGTTAACACTGAGTATAAGCATTCAGAAGTAAAATAAATAAATAATTCTATTTACCAGAGTTTTCAGCCAGCCTAAATTTCCCACAACAGAGAAATCTTTTCCACTGTTTACGGACATTCTCCTTTGTTGCACAATAGAAGAGAAAAATGAAGAACCCTGCAAAGCAGTAATGTTAGAGAATGTTACAGAATTGACTGTTACTACTTCTAACTAAACAATGCTTTGGTTTTCTTTCATGTTTTTTACTTTTCTAATAAAAAATAATGACACCTTTCTTTGGTGAAAAAATTTACAACTCTGAATACTAAAGAGTACTTTTCTTTTAGACAGATGAGAGGAATCATACACACAAATGCACAAAGTGCATGAAATTTCCTATATGAAAGCTTTTGCAGCCCCTGAAACTGGTTTTGCAGATGTCCAGTAGCATCCTGGCCTCCACAAAACTGCATGCCTTTGTAGCTACTTCCTATATGTTCTTAAGTACTAAAGGCATGTTTAAAGAGTTAGACCACTAACTTTCATATGTTGCAGCCTTATGTGTCTCAATGGCCCTTTGCTGAATGTCAGACCTGCCTCCTAAGCCTTAGGGTTACATAGAGAAATTATACTGTTTTCACATTAATTGCATTATTATGTGAACACTTACAGTAACTGAGTAATTACAATTGAACTGTTGACTAGACAAATACAGTCATTTCCAGTGGTGTCTGGTTTGGTATGATTTTGACAATGGTAATATTAGTAGATATAAATATACTACACATATAATTAGTAGCTGGCTTTCCTGAATGTTATTGTAACATAACTGTAGCATAGCATTAGAGTAAAGCAGTATCATTGCTAATCTAACATGTTAAAGCATATATTAAAAGTACATCTTCATGGCTGAATCAAGAAAATATCATTTCTAAATGTTTTGTTCATTATATTGTGTGCAATGGGCTGTCACATGAAGGATAAACTTACCTTGCAAAGAGTTGAAAATGGTAAAGAGGTAACTAAATACCACACTGACTTGGAGGAAAGCAAATCCCCAAGTAATTCCCAACAAGAATGTGAGTCCGGTAACACTCCTAAGTTCTTGAATACTGTTTTTTCTCTGAGAACCAAGTTGTTTTTTCTTTTTGATACGATAGAGCTGGATCAGCACAACAATGAACATGCCGGTATTGACCAGGAATATCACGCAAAAGTATCCCACAGCAGCAATATAGAAGACAGTTTTGTTTTTAATCCAGCAGCTAGAATGCAAGAACAGTCTTGTCAACCATTATCAGAAACAGAAAGTAGGTAAAATAAACAGGAGATAAAGGTTTAGCTTGTTGCACATGTGAACCATTCTTGCCTTTTTAGTAAAACATGGGGGTTTTGGCTAAAGGGTAAGAGCTTTCATATAGGCATTAACCACAAAACACATGACATATTGTAGAGCTATACCATCTGAAAGCTCTCCCATTGCTTCCTTCCCTTCCCCACTTTTACTTTAAAGAAAAGAAATTCCACAGGACGTCCCTCGCACCCACCCCATAAAAGCACCTCCCTTTAACTCACAATGCAAGTGAAACCTTCCCAGTGGTTAGAAGTCCATAATTTTCTGTTGATACTGCCAACACAGTGGACACAACTACTGCTGGTAACCCTAAGAGATTATGAGCAAACACATAAGTGAAAATCACGAGAAAGACAGTATTAGGAAGACCTTAAATTATTATATTTTTCTGGAATCTACAACCTGCAACTGAAATTTGTGAAAGAATCTAAACACTGGAGCATTCAAACTTTCAGGAGAGTAACTTGCAAAGAAACAGCATCCTTCTCCACAGCTAGCTCCAGACCTTTCTGAATAAGGCAACAAATGCCATCACTCATCAAACTGATTTAAAACATCAAATTCAAGGTACTTGATTTACTTTCTTAAGATCTGTTTCAATAAAATAATTACATTGGTTTTAGTGACTTCAATAATGTTTATTCAAGTACAGAGAGGATAATCAGATAATAATCAGAGGATAATCAATTCATTCTTTACCCAGTTTGATCTGGTTTGTTGCTTTTTGTTAGCAATAGAGCTAGCCCAGAAATGGAATATATATGCTTATTGGTAGCTATTTTTAAAACACAACTGATGCCATCTGTCTGGTAAAGGGAAATGGAAGTTCATGCATTCAAAATCGGTTCTATTGTACTTGCACAAGGAAATTCATTACCAATTTGCACTGCAGCAGTCTCAGTTCTGCAGTTGAGGGAGACTTCCCTATGTCAGAAAGGTGGAATATACAGGATTGGATTTACTGATAATGAATACCTGGTCACTGCAAGGTCATAACATTTAATAGCTGCTTCATTTTCATTTCTGAACTGTGTGACATTCACTGAAATACTTGGTAAGAGGGTGTATATATTTAGCATCCAAAAGGAAAAACAAACAAACAAACCAAACATAAGAGAAATACCTACCCCAACCAACAATGCAAAATTTAAGCATGTATCTCTGTACATAGGTATTAAAGACTTTGACAAGGGCCAGATACATGTGGAAAGCTTCTAGGCCCATCCAGGTGAAGGCAGCCAAGAGGAAATAGTGAAGACATGCTGCAACTGTGATGCACAGAATTCGAGATTGATACAGTGTGATCCACGAGTCAAGAAGGAAAACTAAGTTAAGTAGAAGTAATGCAGTACACAGCTGAATAAGGATTTTGGACGGGATATCTCTCCGGATTTTCCTAAAAAAACCCAACAAATTAGTGAGTTTCTATCAACTGTCCACAGATCCCTGGCTTAATTCCTTTCTTGTAGTCCTTAGTACACCAATACCAAGAAAAACTGATTATATATTTTCATTTATATATAGAATGCTTCATATATTGCATTTATACCTCGAAAGAGTAATTTACAGAACACTTCTACATTAACAGTCTGTATGAATAAAGTTTGTTCTAATATGGTTTCATAAATACAAACAATAACTTGGATTCTTAGAGTTTAGTACTATATCTTTTTTTACTGTATGTTGGACTTCTTGTTACAGTACTTCCAAAAACCAAAATGTGACGGTTGTTTATTGCTAAGCTAGATTAGGCTTTTGACTGGGCATCTAAAGCTTTGATAGAGACACATTAACTCCTTGCTGACACGATACTGAGAGAATAAATGTGTGCTGAATAACTTCAAGAAGGATTTCCAAAACATAGTTTGAAAGATTCAATAGTTAAGGCTCAAATGTAAGAAAGCGTTCTGACAAACAAGAAAGAATACAAATGCATTTTTAAATTCTCTACTTCTGTATTGCTCTAGATACGTTGTAGCTTAAACACATTCCTTCACACTTCTATTATGATAACCCATTATAAAAGATTTAACATTGCTACTTCTTCGTTTCTTGCTGTGTAATTAATTAATTCACTTGTCCACAAGATTAACATTCCTGAGGACTGAATCAACACCCTCCTGGTAAACTGGACAAATCTGTGCATTATTAACAGAAACAGAACCTGTAAATGTTAGAAAGGACTTCGCAGTGAAGACAAGCAATCACAATGGAAGAATAATGAGACCTTAGTTGACCAGGTACTTACTCAAAGGCTAGGTAGGTCACAAGAGTAACAGAAAGAAAAACTGCAGAGAGGCCACAGCCTATATAGGATATAAAAGTCAGTGCCAATTCTTGTGTGGGATCCCAAGGAGTATCTCCATACATATTCTAAAACCGTAAGAGAAGGTAATTTCAGATAACATTCTTATTAAATGGTAAAAGAACAAAAAACCCCACAATGTACCTTTCCCTCTGCAATTAAAACAAAAAAGGAAACAGTCCACTTAATAATGGATCTTATAAAAGATTAATTGAAAAACAGAAAAGCCAATTTAGCCCTGCAAGGAGCAGGGAGTTCAACGCGATTATCCTTATGGGTCCCTTCCAACTTGAGATACTGTGTGATTCTAATTGTGAAAATCTAGTTGATTAAAAACTTGTTTTAAATTTGATTGATCCTAATCTGTATTTCTTACAAGATAAACAGCTGCCCAAATGTAAAAGCTACAGTATAATAAGCATGTACTGGAACTCATGGATCCCCACTCAACAAGCAGCTTAAGTACATGACTAATTGCACGGCTGTATGTACTGACATGGAAGTTAACAGAACCTGAGTAGCATTTCATAGGTGGTACATGTGGCATGTGCTTCCTGAATTCTTCTTTTCTTAAGATAAAACATGCTTAAATGTGTTCTGGAATCAGGGTAAGATTGCATCATTTTTTTTTAATAGTTACCGTCAAAACTGCAAAGCTTGTGAGGTGGTTGCATGAACAGACTGTTTCATTTACTCTACTTTCTTTAACTATGCAACCTTCAGATGACCAGCCTCCATGTCCATCTGTTAAAGAAAACAGTTTTGTTATTCATAAAAGCCTTTATTCATATTAATGTGAGTTGATACAGCTAAAACAACATGCTATCGTGGGTGACATCAAGTACTTACCATTTCTACTGAAGTCCCAAAAAACACATGTAACTGTTGAATTATCCTGTTTAGGAGTAAAAAAAAAAATTAAAAAAATAAAAAAATTACTAAACTATGAGTTTATGATTGAGTAATTTATGCATTAGTTACAAAATGCAGGCAAATACACCTGTTCTACATGAACATAACACTAATTTAGGTGCATGGAATGGATTAATATTGCAATATAGATGTGGAAATACTCTGAACAAATTTGAAATCACCATACAGGAACTAGCTCAGGCTTATTCTAAGATTCTCTCCCTGGAAGAACATTATGAATGCTCTTTCAGTGTCTTCCCTATACAAATTCTTGGTATTTCTCATCCTTCTTGATTTCTTACGTGTCAAGAACATGATCACATAGAAAAGGAAAAACTTTTATTAACTTTAATACATTTCATGGCTTTAAATTATCATGATGTTAAAGATTTACATCTAGATTTCACACACAAAAAAATCCTAAAAATAGTAGCAGTATAGTGCTATGAATACTAATACTTCTACAGTTATGTCTCAAAACTCAGTATTCTCAATACAAGTAAAAACTACACTAAGCCAGCTCTTGAAAAAAGCTTCAGGTAAATTAGTGGAATGCCTACTTTTTCAGTGCATAATATTTCAGTATTTTAAATTCTCTTAAGATATGGGATAGAAGATTTTAATCCTTGACATGCATTTAGGAAAGAGATGCTGTATATGAGCAATAACAACATTCCCTCTAAGAAAAAAAAGACTTGAATTGCTTTCTAGCCGTGCAGCACCTACAAATGTAATGAATGAAGCATCTCTGTAGCAACTCCCACTGTCAGACTTTCATTTAAGAGTTTTTATTCTTTGAAGAATGAAATAGGAGGGTAGATAGAAAAGATAAAAAAACTAGATGGATAAGTGATAGAGCAAGATTACCTGAAACCATTTGAGACAAAAATTTATATTGGTGATAAGTAAGTGAAGATAAGTTATTTTGAAAGTCCAGATGGAGATGAAATGTCCACACATATAAAGAAGAACCAACTGATCTGTGTTCTTAGTACACTATTTCTTCTATGAAAACTCCAGCGAACGCAATAGAATTGTACTTTGTCTGCCAATAAGTAAATTGTAAATCATACCTGATTAGGTCTGACAGTCTGTAAAGTGATAGTAACATTTGTCTTTAAGTTTCTAATTGTGAGGTTAGCAACACTCGATGATATAACATTGCTGATTAAAGATGCATTCTTCAAGGATAGATCCTAGAACAACAAAAAAAGAATGCTATTTTAAAATCTTAAAGGAAACAATAGTAGCGTACAGCACCCAAAAGCTCAGTTATGTGGAGTGAGCACTGGACAAAAATAATTACTTCTAAATCAGGAAGTTTTGAAATGTGTTTTGTGGGAAGAAGACCATTCATATTTTATTTTGCTCTAGGCTTGAGCTTAAAACCCTTATGAACAGATGATTGAAAAGATACCTGAAACACAGTAGTCTTTTTAAAGAAGTTGAATATAATTCTAGAAGCCATGTTCAGTTCTTCAGGGGATAAATTTATCAGCAATGATGAAGGAAGAGTAATTGATCCAAGATTATCGAAATCACTACGTGCATTAAGAAAGACCTGAAAAATAAATACAAGGATTATGCTTAATTTCAGTCACTGAAGAAAAAATAAATTATTACTTATTTTCAGTTTAGAACTTCGAAATACTCTGTAATCACTGTCAGGAACTCACTGCTGCACTCTTCTTGCTCTCCTGCTCCAATAAATAAATAGCACCTGCAGACTTGAAAAGGATGCAATTCATTTCAGGTCTGCCTACCCTTGAAAATACTCTGGCTTTACCTATTTGCTTAGAGGGACAGAACACATTACTGGGGTGGATAATACTGATTTGCAAAAGGTGAAGAGCATCTTAGGTAGGTCTATGTAATTGTGTAGGGAGATTAACATTTGACAGCATAAGAGCCTGACAGTTCTGGAGCCCCCAACATAAGAAGGACATGGAGATCCTGCAGAAAGTCCACAGGGGGGGAGGGAAAGATTATTACAGGGGTGGAGCACCTCTCCTATGAAGACAAGCTGAGAAAGTTGAGGTTGTGCAGCCTGGAGAAGAGGAGGCTCTGGGAAGACCACATAGCTGCCTTCCAGTACCTGAAGGGGCTACAGGAAAGCTGGGGAGGGACTGTTTACATGGGCTTGTAGTGAAAGGACAAGGGGTAATGGATTAAAACTGGAAGAGGGGAGATTTAGGTTAGACATTAGGAAGAAACTCTTTCCTGTGAGGATGGTGGTGAGACACTGGAACAGGTTGTCCAGGGAAGTTGTGGCTACCCCCTCCCTGGAAGTGTTCAAGGACAGGTTGGATGGGGCTTTGAGCAACCTGGTCTAGTGGGAGGTGTCCCTGCTCATGCAGGGCAGTTGGAACTAGGTGATCTTTAAGGTCCCTTCCAAACCATACTATGATTCTACGAAAAGCAAGTAATTTTTATACCTCATATGAGGTATGTCAGAATTCTGAAAAAAACTGTAAATAGCCATTACTTGTCAATAGGTTTTTACTACAGTAGGTTAAGCAGAATTTAAGACCATAAACCCTAACTACATGATCATCTGGAAAAATGGCAAAAATAAACTGGATAAGCTACAATTCACAAATCTCAAGTGCTTAGTGATCCAACATTTAAAAAAACCTGAACTTCTACCTAGTTTTCTGTCTTGTACTTCTAGAACAGAGAGCTTTGATTAGTACAAAATCTCTAACATTTTATTGCTGCACATTAGTGACTTTAAATACAAATATCATCACCTCAGAGTTCCTGAGACATGTGAAACATCAGTAGAACTAAAGAAATAAATTATCTGGGTATTCAAAGAATGGCTGTAATAGGAATAACAGTGTGAGCTCCTCACAGTTCCCTAACAATATTATTTAACTCTTATGTTTAGACCAGTAGTCTCTGAATTTGTTTGGTCATGTGCCCCAAAATATATCTATTTATAAGTTATGTGCATGTACTACTGTACTAATACATTATGCACATTATAAAACATACACAAAACTAGAAATTTTTAAAGGACGAAACAAAGAATAAACATTACTTTTAAAAATATTTTTAATGTATTAATCATATAACAATATTTCCTTTCTGCACCCCAGTGGACTGTTATGTGCATACCCTGGAGTACTCATACCCCAGGCTAGGATAGCACTGGTTTAGACAGACACCAAAGAAATTCCAAATAATTTCCACAAAGGCATTCCTACATTCCTGTTGCTCTGGTTTGAACTAATGATACCTGTTGAAAATTCTCTGTATTTCATTGCCAGTGCCATGAGATTTCCAGAAAATCATTACTTAGCAAATATCTGTTTTTCAGCACTACTACCTCCTAGTCAGCTCACATTAATGCACTGCATATAGCTAAAAAAATAGAAAATAACTCAAACGTTAACATTTCATATATATTTCAGTATCACAGAACAGTTTCATTACAACTTATGGCTCATGCTACATTAAGCTGTATCTTCTCTGAAATAAAAGAATGTGCCAAATTTTTTCCAGAACTTTCTACCTCTCCTTGATTAATCTTCCAAGGCTGGTGGTTTCCATATTATTATTTACTCAACCAGGAGGGAGGTTCTGGATGATACAAAGTGGATCCAAACATTCTAAGCACTTCCTTTTTGATGAGACCAACTAGTCATGAGTGACAAATGTACGAATGTCATTATCCAAGGAACATAATCATTCATTCCTGGAGCCATTTGCAATTTACCTGCTTCTAACAGATGAAGCCTTCTGGTAACACTCTTTGATACATTTCAACACAACTGGGGGGGTGATTAAGTGACTCATGATTCAGGTGTTATGAGGCAAAGTTATTCCAACAAGCACTCTGTCCATTCTGGTGTTCTGGCTGTACCCTCTCTACCAGATTACTAGTCATATGCCAGTTTCTGCTAAGTCTGTTGCTTATTTACACTTATTAACCCAATATAAAATTAAAGAAAAAACTATGGAGGGCTTCAAAAACAAAGTATTTTTTCTCTGAAAATAACATGAAAAATAGTTCCTGAAATTCATAGAATCATAGAATAGTTTGGGAAATAGTTTGGGTTGGAAGGGACTTTAAAGATCACCTAGTTCCAACTTCCTGCATGGGCAGGGACACTTCCCACTAGACCAGGTTGCTCAAAGCCCCATCCAACCTGTCCTTGAACACTTCCAGGGAGGGGATAGCCACAGCTTCCCTGGACAACCTGTTCCAGTGTCTCACAGGAAAGAGTTTCTTCCTAATGTCTAACCTAAATCTCCCCTCTTCCAGTTTTAATCAATTACCCCTTGTCCTTTCACTACAAGCCCATGTAAACAGTCCCTCCCCAGCTTTCCTGCAGCCCCTTCAGGTACTGGAAGGCAGCTATGTGGTCCTCCCGGAGCCTTCTCTTCTCCAGGCTGCACAACCTCAACTGTCTCAGCTTGTCTTCACAGGAGAGGTGCTCCAGCCCTCTGAATTATGACATAACCACAGAACAAACTCATGTTACATATAAATATAAAATAATAAATATTTTAAAATAAATGTTTGAGAGTTTGCATTTATAATTATTGATGTTTAACCTGGAGATCAGCTGAGTCCTTGACAGCAAAAGACATCTGGTTGGAGCGGATGCTATTGGTCTTGACAACTGCCAGAGCCAAGGAAGGGGAGGCAAAATCAGCAGATGTTGCTGGAAAGTTCAGTTTTAAGCCAATATAATCCACCAGTTTTATAATTCTGTAAAGAAAAAAAGAGATAGCTAGTATTATCAAGCACATACCCCTTAAATACTCAGTCAAATTGTGGTTATGGAGTGGCAACACAAGTGCAGTCTAAAATACAGCTGACTGTTTACTGTTGTGTCAACACAAAAAAATACTGTGTTTTCCATGGCATTATATTACAGTGGAGCCTGTAGCACTAGAATGATACTCCTGTTTTGTGCAAGTACATTAAGGAACAAGAAACATTCTTTTGGATTATGATTACGAGAAAAAAGAAACTTGCTGAAGCCAATTTATTGTGACAATCGACACAACATACCTCTAATTTCTTGCCAGAATTACCTACCTGTTAGATATTCGGGGTGGTAATGGTTGAGAGGCAGTCAGGACTTTGCTAACCTCACTAACCATCCTTTCTACATCTTTTGGCTCTACTTTTCCAGCTGCTAAATCATTTTCTATTTTGGACACGATTTGCTCAGCTGTGATCATACTAGTGGTGGTATGCACATAAGTTGTGTACGTGGTAGTTGAGAGTATCTTTCCTGTGACAAAAGAAAAGTTGTGCATTTATTGAACCTTGTGTTCAACAAATAAAGTAAGCTTTGAGAAGCAGTAAAATTAAGCAGTTCTCTTGACCAGCAAACCTTATCATAACTTGTACAGTCTTTCAACATGTTGTAGGAGACAGAATCGCCTTTTCTCCCTAACTACTTTTCAGATAGCAATAATTTAAATCTTAGGAAAACACAAAGCAAGGTTTCACATGGGCAGCATTAATCCCAATTTTTATTGATTACAAAGTTCCTCACATCAGACCATTAATGATGTTAAATAATGTATTATTTTTTTATTTTTAGCCACAAGATGGCTGAAAGTTGAATAAAATCAAGAGACGATCAGTAATTTGAAAAGAAGCTTGTAAAGAGGCATACAATCTTAATAGAAAAATACACAGCCATTAAGAATATTTATAATCTATAACAATATTTTAAGTAAGATCCAACCCTAATTTGCAATATTTAAATGCTAGCTTAGTAAAAAAATAGCTAAGTCTGTGACTTAATTTTTTCTGCTAAAGATACCTACTGGGAACTTAGCACAGTACCTATCTATCACAGTTACCAAGCAATTTGTAGGGCAAGGTATAACTCATCACGGCCAAAAAACATGAGAATGTATTTTCAAATAAGTATACACCTCATGAGAGTTGTCTTAGGTCTTTCACAGTAACTGGGAAGTCAGAGCTCAGATACATGTTCTTGTTTAATGCAGTTTAAAAGCAAATTCTGTTCATGGCATTCAAATTTTTAAAAAATAATAATTAAATCATCATTTTACTTGTCATATTTACCTGTGCTCCCATGAATTATGCTACCATGGACTGCAGCGCTGGCATGAGGATGAGAAGCTGAGACAGAGTGGTTGATAGGACCAACGGTAGGGGTCAAAGTTGTTGGGAAAGGCGTAAGAGGAAGGTGCTGTAAAGGTGCTGTAGTAATTTTTTTGTTACCAGAAATAGGTTGGGTTGACTCTGTAGCAAGATGATTTTGTGCAATAGATTTGGTGGTAGTCTCCATGGGAGGAATTGCTATTGAAGGTTTTGGGGGAAGCTCAGAAGAGGAAACTGTGGAATGTTTACTGAGATCTACAGAAGGAGAAATTATTGTAATAGGCTTGCTAAAATATGCAGCATCAGATTTAATTGAGAAAGCGGCATTAGTGGCAGATTTTGTTGCAGTTGTGGAAGCAGTGACAGATTTATTAGAAGGAAAAGTGGAAATGGCAGGTTGAGCAAGAGACTCAGAAGAGGAAAGCGTAGAGGTAGCACTGGTGGAAGACACAGAAGTTTCAGTAGTAGATGTGGCAGAAGTTTCAGAGAGAGGAACTGTAGTGTGAGATGTGGACACAGTTTCAGGAGAATAAATGTCTGTGAACGGTGACATCAGTGGTGTACTTGTGGGGCTTTGTTTGGTGGAAAGTGTAGTAGGGGAAGTAAAAGTATTAGACTGGGGATAAGTCTTTTTAGGGAGAGAAGGAAAATGAGGGAAAGGAACCCAAATAGTATGAGGCGGCACTTGTATAGTACTGTAAAAAAAAACAAAAACAAAAAAGCATAGAATTTAACATAGCTTATATTTTAAAGAAAATTAGTTCTAACAGAGTAATATATACAAATTACATGGTCATAGTACCAATACTGTAAATTTTTAAATCTTATTGGATGTTTCATGCTCTTGTAACAATTTTGTAATATTTTCAGCATTCCAACATTCTGTTTTGCTGTAGTTATTAACTATCCAGTCTATAAATACCACTACTGCCTTTGCTGCCTATTCTGGCCTGATGCTGAACACAAAAGCTACTTCCATCAAAATAAAAAAAGGGGAGGGGAGGAGGAATAGGGATGGAGCTATACAGAAAAATGCATGTCAGGTTGTTCTTACAGAGTCCTTCCTGGCTATTATACTACAACAACAGCAGGTGACTCTGTTAATGCACTAGGAAATTTAGAAAATAAGCAAATCACATGTTGTATTTTTACTTACTACATTCGTAATTCTTCAGCAGTCAAGGAACAATACTTCAGTGATGAACAGCAGCACCGTTCTGAGATGACAAAGAAGCATTAACCTAGTTTACCCTGAAGCACAAAAATTGCTAATACTGTTAAGCAGGATATTCAAACAAGCATGTGTTTTATATTTTTAAATAATACTGTATATTGCATAATTATTCTTTTTTTCTGAAATGATATTTGCAAAACAGACTCTGGCCAGTCAGAATACTGCAATACCCCCAGATTTTTGATCAGTGTCTGAGAAGTACAGGTTTTTCTTTTTGTCATTATAAACAAATCAAAATGCAAAGTTACATCTTTTGAAACAGAGAAAAATGATGTGAATCACCAATCCATACTATTACAATATCACTAAGAAAGCTTGGCTACTTTAAAAATGTTTTCGTTCAGATTGGCATTTCAGTAACACATTTATGTTCTCAAGTCATTTTATAGCCAATCCTTTCAAATTCTTTTTTTATTAAGGTAGTCAGGGATTTTATACCAAAGTTTTTCAAAACATATTTCTATTTTCCACCTCTCCACCCAAACATTGGAAAGTTGCATTTTTCTTATGGTTATATTGTTTAATTTATATTTTTTATTTTTAAAAGTATAAATCTTTTATTTTGGCTACTTGGAGGTCAGATGTGAAGATATGAAATTTAATCTGATAGGGTACCTGTGATGAGACTGTGTTTAAAGCATAACTTACCAAGCTTGATTATTTCCGTTTTGTCTCTTAAACTGCTTACATTCTCTCTGTCCGCCAGCTTCATTATAAAATTGCAGTACACGCTATAATGAGAAGAAAAAGCTGTAGACTCAAGAAGCAGATCTGCCTCATCTTTACAGCACATGAACCTAATACAAAATGCTAGGTGAAAGCAAATTAGCACAAATTTTAAGTGTGACAGCACATTTTTCCTAGGCTCTTTCAGATTTGGGGATATTTAAAATGCACATGAAATCCTACACCAGGCTACAAATATTAAGAGCAATACAGTTTGTGGCAGCTTATTTTCTCTTTCCTCTATAGAAACCATTGATTCTTAGATGGGCTCCTCCCTAATTAATGTCAGCCATTAAGAGTTGATAATTTTGTAAAGGTAATAATGTAATCTCCACTGTTACTGTACAGCAACTCCAGAGAGTAACTAGTAAATATCTCTGTCAGTGTATATGAAACCTTCATCGTCTGGGGAAAGCCAATGCTCTCACTTTTGGCTTCCTAGAGAACTTAAATGACTCACATAAACATGTAACTATGTATTTACACATTATGGCCTAACAAAACTACAGTTGGAATTATTCTCGTTCAGCAAACTCAAAACACACAGGTGAATGAAAAGGCAACACATAAAAAAGATGAATTCAAGCTTCTTTCCAGCTTACAAGAATTAAAAGAGTACCCTAACTACTGCCAGTATGTGACAGGAAGGTGAGATATGACTTTCTGTCTATTACTATTTGAGTGTTTTGGACTTTTCTTTCATCCTAACTCTGGAAGACAAACACCAAATTCAAGTATTTGGAGAAATTAAGTTCCACATTTTGTTTTAGAACATAGTGTTTCCAAGCTGTTCAGTTTAAATGACTAGCAATTCAGTGGTGAATAGCAATTAAGTTGACAGACATTATCTACATTTCAGGATTTCCATGTTCAACTCTGTGGAGCAGCCTTGCTATTTTGATATGCCAGGGCTTCCAGACTCTGAACTGGTTATGATCTCAGGCTTCCCCTACCCTGAGGATGGCTGGTTTCCCAAGCCAAAGAACAGCAACTTGAGATGTCAGAAGCAATCCCCTTAGAAAGATTGCATTGCATTCACAACCTCTGGAAGTCTAATGCCGCCAAATCCCATATCCTTAGTCATTACATTGCTGTATGACTAAGCTAACATGTCGAAGAAATATGACAAGCAAGCCTGAGCTTCACCAGAAGATCAATGAAAAGCAATACAGTTCAGTTTAAAAAAAATAAAATCTAAAAAAAACCACAACCCAGAAAGCCACTAATGTTAGGAGAATAATGGGATCAGAATTTCTTTGTCAGCCTATACATATTTCTGCAGCCTGCTTCTCAAACTTAGCTTCCCAGAAATCTTGGGTTTACTTCTGGACGTAGCCATTCATACTTGATACACCACAAGACACTATATGAGCTTTTAAATATATCAGTGTTTAAAAAATTAACAACAAACCTTTGGTTTTCAGTGCTGCATTTCATAACAGAGGACTGCAATGACAAGTAAAAACAAAAAAAATATTTTGTCAGGAAAAAAGAGGATTGATACTCAGACAACAACATTATCAGATAAGTTGGAAAAAAGTTTTCCAAACAGTAAGAACAATTAGTCATCTTACCTCACTTAGTGCTTGCAGGGTTTTGTTGAACTCTGAAACTCTTTAAAATAAAAAATTACCATTACAGAGGGTTTCTAGTTAAGCTTCTGAAGACAATTACAACAATATAATAAAAATAACAAGTACTGAGAAAACACAACTTTACCAGTTATCAGTGACCTTTTTAAAATTATGCCAATTCTAATATTGTAAAACCACTTTTCAAAGGATTAAACATTTTAAAAGTTGCTTTCTATTAGTCACTACACAAATCAAGTTTACACATCTGCCATCAGAGATGACAGACCTTTTTCAAATATATCAAAGATTTCAATCCTTTTTCATGATTACTTACCTCAATTCTTGTGGGGAAGGTGCTGAAATTGCAAGTAATTTTGTAACTTGTTTGTTGATGGCTGTGTTATTAATCTGTTAGAAAAAAAAAATTCCCCGATTTAAGTAAAACCAGTAATTTTTAGCCTTGAAAGAAACACGTTAATTTCACAATTTTTAGAGTCAGAAATTCCAAAGATAAGAAACACTTTTTCTCATAAATACACTTCAGCAAATATTTACCATTGCATTGTTGTCACAACTTAATGGAAGGAATTGGCTTATCTAGTACAGAGCAAATCATGTGATCTGATTTGTGAAAGAGGACAGTGACAGTGATTTCACCATATCTCATGTTAGAAAAAGAGGAACTTGGCTTAGTTTGCAAAAGAGACAGCTTAAACCAGACACTGAAGAAACTTCATAACTGTAAGTGCAGCAATGGGACGAGCCGCATAACAGACAGAAGTAACACACAACATAGAATCCTGGGAGTAAAAAGCTATGAACTGAGATGAAAGACATGGTAGGAATGATCTAATGATGTATATGTATACACACATATATATACACATATATAAGGCTATATATATATGTTCAGCCTCCTTTACAATAAAGTATTAAAAGAGAGAGCACTTACTATTTCTACATTTAGTGACGTGTTACTTTCCTCAGTCACCTGAAGTCTTACTGTGCCCACATAGAAAACTAAAACCAAAAGGAAAAAGAAGTTAAGAAAATCAACACTAAACCACAAGACATAAAATTGAGAATTTTAAAATTCACTGTTTCATGAGGTTTATAATTCTCATCACTTTTATATAAACACCCTCCCCACACACATTTTATATTAATTTTTACAAGCTATACAAAATCTCTCTGAATTCACAAGAAAATGTATTACAGAACTAGCTTTTACATAGCAACTACAAGTTACCTCATTACTCAGAACAGAAAATAGTAGGACATGGTTTTTATGTTAAAAAAAAAGGAAAAAGAAAATCACTAACCTGAATAATTACAGACAGGTGTTATGTTGCATAAAATGGTTTCTCCTGCTATAATTTTTTTGAGAAAAAGAAAACCCAGTGAGTAAAAAAGTTAAACCAATAATGACAAACATGTATCTTTAGAGTAATTTAAATGTTTCAAATGTAAAGGTATTTACCTTTCAAAAATATTTCAGATACTGTCTAGGCTTCACTTCTCTAGGGTACTTACCATGATATTTTTCAAGACTTAGTAGTGAAACATGCTGGTTTTGATTAATTTTGAATAATTTTTTTGTAAGTTTCCACAAAAGACTTATAGGCAAGTGGTCTGTCTCTTTTAAATCAAAATCAAAATCAAATAGAAATCAACATATCATAAATAAGCTCTTCAAATACCACAGTATTCAATCACTAAGTAGGAGTTTATCTACTATGGTTATTTATGATCATGACAAACTAAAACTGTTCTACATAATAGAATTCAAACTATTATGATAGCAAACATGTTTACTGTCATCTAGTAGAACATGTCTTCAGTTAGCTACAGCAAGCTTTTGGCTGCTACCTTATTTTTAATACTACCTGCACTGCAAAGAGATAATGCTGATCCTAAATTAATTAACTATACAACAGGTAGCACTGTTGTATAAAATCAAAATAAAGGACTCAAAAGATATTTGGATTCAAGACAAAACTCTGACACTTGTTCAAAACAATGTGGCAGCACAACTTTCTTACATTACTTAAACAGACTCTTCCGTTAAACTGAGGAATGGCAAAATGGTTCAAAATAAACACATCTTGGTATAAGAATTTACTCTGCTTTTATTATTAGCTAGTAACAAATAAGATGGGAATTTAATTATACTTTTTTTTTTTTACTTTTTCTGTGGTACAAATATTTGCCTGTTACAGTCTGATGCTCCAGCAATTTTATCACCATCAACAAACAGAATCAAAGGGTATGGATTGTGAGCCAGGGCCAACATTCAAATTATTAGAATTTATTTTTTTTTCAGACAGCAGTTTTAGATTCACATACATTTGCCTTCCCTTTTTTGTTGGCAGCTGTCAGTGAAACAGCTACAAAAACTATATCACCATTAAAAAAAAAAATATCCTAAAAGAAATAAAGTGTTCATAAATAACCAAACTTGTCAAAATTATTAACTATGTAAGGAACAACACCATTTTTAAATGCCAATACAAAACCCAGAAGTGACACAAAAGAGCAACATCAGCCTTTTTTTCTTTACAGAGCACCCATTTGTGTGCCACCTAGCCTTGCCTAGAATCTCTGCATGCCACTGAAATGCACAAGATAAGCAGCACGGAGGAGAAAAGACTGATGAAAAATCACAAGTGTTCCCAGTCCCCAGAGATAATCAGACAACATAGCTGCAACCTTCCTGCAGGTCACTTTCACAGTGTTAAACTATACTAGCCACTATGGCTCAAAGCCAGTTTTTCTACTGCTTGCAGTAATTCAGTGCAAATACCTTCTAACTGGTCTACGAGGCTCCTACATGGATAATAAAAACATAATAAAAGAATCCAGGCTGCTCCTATAGAGTGGACCTGCCACGAGAGCATCATGACTGGATTCAGTCTCCTTCAGTCTACTAAAAAGTATAAAGTGGTGGGTTTTGGGTTTTTTTAAAGCAAAGATGGTCCCTGAGATTGTGTTTCTTACATCCTTGTGGTAATCAGCTGCTACGACAGAAAATAACCAAACTCGTCTATATGGCCATCTAGACAAGCAGTGCAGAGTTAGACCTTCTACCAGACTGGAGATCAATGCAAAGTAGGACAAACTGCTAGCATGACACAACATAAAACCAAAAAAAAAAAAAAAATCCTATTAAAAATATTTAGGAGCAGGCTTCTGGAACTCACATATCCTTACAACTGTGAGACCCATAAAAGATCAGGGGCGCAATATGAATCCTACCTGGTGTTATGGTGGAGTAATAATCAGTGATGTTGAGTGCTTCTGTTAAAAAAAAACAACAACAAAAGTTATAAAGTTAACTTTTCCCATTTTAAGGTCAAAAGCCTATGAAATATATGTTTAAAGAAAAAAAGTTTCCTTATTTTTTCTAGTTTAGACTCAGTATTCCCAGAAGTGTAAACACATCATCATTTATAAGGGAATTAAGCTACTTGCAGCACTGGAAATTCAGCACAGCAGCATTCAGAGGGACATCCATCCAGTCAAATATTTATATTCTCGTGTGGGCCAGTGACACGAGGCTCCCTGTTACTCAGCGAAGAAAATGCTGATTTTAAGGTGTGATTGCCATTTAGCGTATTCTACATGGGCACTTCAGCATAAGATAAATCATATTCTAAAAATGTGTCTTTGCCTCCATCAACTATGAAGAACAGCAGCATTCCCAGCTCATACACAGACATGTAGAAATCTGTACTGATATGGGATGAATCTGCTTGTTTTCAAATGCAAACAGGAAAAAAAAGGGTAGCAAGTCCTTCTGTTCGAGCCTTCAGTGATCTTACTTGGCAACGTATCTCAAGACTATATCATGTAAGTGTCTTTAAGGAATGGTGTGTACATTTCAGTTCTGTAAAATACAGAGTTTCAGAAAGTAGAGAAAACATTCCATCTGTAGATATACCAAAAAACTCCACACTTGCTCAAAATAAGTATGACCAATTTGGGCTTTGGTAAGTAATGTGGTATTTTTAAGTATAAAGAAAGGTTAACAGCTCAGTATCAGGTTAATGCACTTCAAAGCCCTACCCATGCAGACTTAAAGTCTGGAGATAAATACAGCGTTTAAGATAACATAAGAAAAGAATCAGACCTAAACAAATTGCAGTTATAGAAAAAAAAAAAACAGCAACCTTTTATGAATGCAGCAAACATCTCCCTTTAGACTTTATTCTCTTAATGCTAATTCTCACCTGCAGTTTGTGTAGTCTCCTCTGAAGTCATATCTGAAAAATAAAAATTAATAACAATAAAACCAATAAAAATAAAATATAAAAGTAAGATATCTACAAAATTCTAAATCTAAATAAATCTGAGAAGCATCAATAAAATCTTGCCTGAAGGATTAATAGGATAGGTGATTAAAGTAACCATAGAAGATTACAGGAAAAACAAATAAACAAACACAGAAAAAAAACCAAACACAAAAACCCACCAAAAAAAACCAAACAAAAAATAAGTAGAAACTGTATTAATATTTTGTTGCAAAAAATTTTGGAGAAAAAAAGATCAAGCACGCAAAACTTCAAACAGGAACATCATTTAATTATATGTTCCATTTTAAGAACAACTGCCGTGCTTGTTAGGAATGTTCCCATTATTTCAATACAAATATTTGAAATCATGTTTCCATTATTTCAAAAATCTGAGTATCTGAATAAAAACAGCTGGCAAATGAGTTCTTTCAGATAGGTTCTTAATTGGTTTCATTCTTTTAGAAGATGCAGATGAATTTGGCATATCCAATAGCAATAACTGCTTGGGCCCAATGGCTTTTTCCTTCAACTGACAACAATCATGAGCAGAGATGACACACTGGGTTTGGCAAACTGCCTCTCCAAAAAAAGCTATTTTTGTCAGTAACCAATGTGGAGAACGGCCCCATACATAAATAAAATGCAGTGAGGATGCAAGGTTTTTTCAGCTACATCAAAAGAAAATAGAAAATTACATTAAAACAATAGAAGAAAATTTAAAGATTACTCAGGAAGGATGTGCTTAGTAACCATATTCTGGTGTCAGCACAGGAATACAAAGTGATTACAGTACCACTTTATACCACTACAATATGACAACTTTGTGCCCTTTTAAAAATAGGCCAGAGCAAATTCATAACAGAAGAACATTTTGCTTTCCAATTTTCTTCACTAAAAGCGACACTGTCATTTGTAAAAATAGTATCTTAGGTATAATAAAGAAACTCAGTGACTCTGCATAAAGACAGTTGCATATCAAGGAAAAAATAAAGCTACCTACTCCATTACACAGAAAGGGAGCTTTTCTTTCTGATATATTTATTTCAACTAGACTAGCCATCTTCAGCTGTTTGAAAAGTGCCCTCTTAGTTCCATACACATAATAAAAGCTAAGCATATCTGGTTCTTCAGCAAGAATCCTGAAGACAACTGATTTCCCTATGCAACTAAAAGCAGCCAAAATACATGGAATCAGTGTGAAAACTAAGCACTGGCTTCATCTGTATTATTTGGCTTGGTATAATCTACATCAAATACTGAATCAGCTGCTCTTGTTAAAGATGAACCATTCCCAGAAAAAGACTGTATCTGTAAAAGAACAAAAGCATGTGTGTTTGTGTATGTATTACTTCTTTTCTCCAACACATGATATATCCATTAAGCAAGAAAGCAACTGTCTTGAACACAGTTATTTCTGTTTGGCTGCATTCTACATTTTAAAAAAATGTTTTCAAGGATGATCTTCACTACCTCTGGTGCCAGCAGTTAATGTCTCATGTCTGTGTGTGTGTGTGCCCGTGTGTGTATGCATGAAGGATACCACACTGCATGGAAAGACGTCTGCACACCTGTGAGGGTGGGAGGAGATGTAGGGGAGTTCTCTCACTGTTCCTCCTCTGTCATCTAAGCAAACTGTTCACTGTTTAGGTTACTGGACAAAAGGCTCTTAATTGAGCAACTTCCACCTCTTTCATCCCTAAGCATCACTGCTGCAAACCATGAGTGATCCTATAAGGTAAGCTATTTCATTACAAGGTAGAATTAAGAAAAATTCTAATCTTTAAAAAATAAACAATCAAAACATTAAGTGTTGGAACTCACATAACGGATTTTCTGCATTGCCTCAGATAACAGCAGACTTGTCTAACAGGAAATAATACACATTGCAGTAATCAGTAAAGTCCTGATTTTCTTACCAGAAATGGTTGTTGCAGCTGATTCTCCTGAATTTGCAGGGTTTGTTTCAGACAGGAGAAAAAAAAAAAAAAAAAAAAAAAAGAGGGGAAAAAGGACTATAATGAATTTTCAGACACACACAGCTACACATAGCAGACTTTCCTTATATTAGCAAAAATTTATTCCATTCACCAGAAGAGGGCAACACATACTTATCAGAAGAACGCCTCCAGGTTTTCAAAAAAGGCAGATGTTACAATCTCTGACTAAAGAAAATATTATTTTAATGGATTCAACTAGAACTCCACTGAAAACGATTTCTTTTCAACAAACACTGGATAGTTTGCACGGTATAATGTTAAAAAAACAAAAGTCACTGACTCAACATATGCGCCAGTCTAGTCTGAAAGCCACGTCCCTACCCTGAGTGTCTTGCTAATTCTGGGAAGGGAAATCAAGCTTATGTAACAAGATGGCTGTAGCTGGGTGTGAAGAACTCTTCTCAGACTTTGCATAGTGACACTGAGAATTGCCATTTAAAATTTATCCCATACATATCTGTTCTCTTTTCTATCCTGCAAAAAGCAGCATTACAAAAAAGCTAATTCATTTCAAGTTTGAACCTCTGACCTTGACAGGAGCCACCCAGCTATTTCTATAGCAAACACTAGCTGCTAAATCTTTCATGTTGCTACAGTCAGTATTTTGATTTTTAAAAAAATTGGAAATTTGACATCTGGCTCACACAGAAATTTGGAAGTTATCCCTTTGATTCACTGAGTGTTTTTTCACAGTGCCAGTTATCACAGAAATATATAAAGAATAGCTGGCTGCAAATATGAAACACTACTTAAAAATGTAAGGCATTTCAGCATCTTCTCTCAAAACTCAAAATTCTATAATGTTACTTACAGTACACTAATCATACTGTAAAACCTTTCCTACTGCTGTAGAAGAGCTAAGTCAGAGATATCAAAAGTCTCCATGGAAAACCAGATCTTTTTGGTTAAACCTAGTAAACAAGGAGTTTCTAAAATGATAATCACTCACATTATTCCTTGCTCAGGCTATTTTGCTTGCCTTACTGAAAACTAGTAAGAGCTTCTTTCCAAACGATAAGTGTAAATATAATTTCTGCAATGAAAGGTGAATCGGAGTCATCTCAACGATGACTGGATTTTCTCTGGAAAATTACTGATGCTATTTGCACCATGAAATATGCTAATTATATAGATAGGATTATATCGATAATTAATTTGCAGATATGTACATATTCTTAACTACCTCCATGAATTATAAAGCAACAGCAGCAGCAATCTTCTATGCACTTTCTCAAACACAAGAAAAATGGGAAAAAATTACACAGCACCCCCATGTACCTGTCAAGTGTTCTCTGCCAGGCAACGTAGCAGTAGTTTCAACTACAAAGGAAAAAGATTTTTTAGGCATTTCAGTTTTATATATATTTGTACGCATGCATATGTACACACACTTTTTTAAACAGAACCATTTTAGATGTGCTACTCACCTCAGTTCAAGCTGATTTGCAAAACTACTTTGCATCCACTAAGAAATGTATGTCAAGTTTAGTTTTTTTTAGATCAATTTTTTACTCAGTTTATCTCTTTTATACTTATGGAAGACACAGATAACGCTGTGAGCTTTCCCACTGCCCTTCCATTGCCAATGTCTTCAGAAAACCTTTCAAAATATTTGCTTGAGTGAAGATGAAATAGACTATATAGTAGCAAACAAAAATGTAACACAATGGTACTTTCACACAGCTATTTTTGAAAAAATGTGGAAGAGAAATGCTGATTAATTATTTGAGAAGGGAAATTTTCTTAATATAAAGAAAAGCAGATAAATTAAACCAAAAATAACCAGGGTGCCTGGAGAGTTGGGGAAGACAGGGATACTTTAGTCCATACATATTTACAAATTGCATGAGATGTACTTTGAGAATACATCTACATCATGATGCTACTTATACATCATGTATATGCTCACATGCCCAAGAGTTGTACCACCAGAGAACATCTAAACAATGAGCAGATAGATCAGGCTGCCAGAAATTAAGCAGCACAGGTCGACCTGGATTGGGAATGAAACTGTGACATATTTCTAGCTCAAGGGGCCCATGTAACATACAGATGGGGCTTGATCAAGGTGTAGATCTGAAGATTGAAGCTATTGCACAGGCCACACACGGATGTGAAATATGCACCATAATCAAGCAAGCCAAGTGTCTAAAGTCTCCCCAGAATAGAAGATGGCTGGTCTGTCAATATGAGGAGGCCTAGCAGATCAATTACACGAGACCACTGCTGTGAAACTGCCACCGAGGCAAACGCTGTGTGTTTCCCATGCTGAAGGCAACAGGCAGGTGGCTAGAAATTTACCCTGCAGCCTATGTCACTACCCAAAACATCACCCTGGGCCTTAAAAAATGCCACTCATTTAATACTTGCATCAGTAGTCTGCAACACCATTTTCAGCCTCTGGATCCAGTGATCCAAATTCAAATCTATTTGGGACCTCCAGTAACCAATCATTTGGGGATGGCACACTGTAAAGTGCTCCGAGGCAGCAAATTCCTGGGTAGCAGGTTATGTGAAAGAACTTGGGCAGTTGCCTAGAGCAGTTTTCACCTCTGATGCCTGGGAGTTTACATCTGAACAGGCACAAAATCCTCTTGAAATGGCAGACCACTTGAAGGAAGGATGTCTTTCTTACACCAAAGATAAGACTGACTTCTGGTGCTGTGTTGTGGTTTGGCCTATGCTTACCAGACCTGTGTTCAACACCCTGAAAGAAGCAAGAGGTCTCTAAGATTCTGCCCACAGAGAAATACAATTTTTCTTTTTAACATTCAGCACTGTATGAACTTCAAAGATTATTAAAAACTGGCTATAACCTTAATTTTTACAGTCACTTTTCAGGAAAATTAGGACTTTCCTACATGGTTAAGTCCAGTCAAAATACATGATTCTGTAAGGTTTGTGTTCTAGAGCTCTTAAGTGTTGCTACTTTAACCCTTCACAGTGCTGAGGTATTACGGCACCTATAGAACTTTTTTCTTAACGTCTAGTGTGGGATTAGGGAAGATCCTTTAGATACAGTACCAACTTTTAAATAATGCACAGAACTGAAGCAGCAAGTCAGATAAAAATGTTCTGTATTGTTTAAACAGTAAATAGCTTTTTAAGGTAGAATGGAAGGAACAAAAATAACTGAGACAATTCTACATTAAGTGGGCTTTTGGTTAGAGAAGAAAATACCCTTCTGCATGTTTGCCTAGAAGGAAAACTGGCTTTCTTACCAAAGGAAGTGAATTCCATTTCCAAAAATGTACCTGCCACTAGTCCTGTCTTACTAAGTCTTACAACTTTGTGCAAAAACCCTTATCTCCAACCAAAGGGCCTTGGCGGAAATTAAATTCTCAGAAGGAACCCACCTCTTGAAGTATGCAGCATCTCACATAAAAGCCCACCAAACTGCTTCTTCTGCCCAGTAGAAGATAAAAAAAATCTGCGTGGGGAATCTGACCTTAAGTTCTTTATCACATACTCTTGAGGAGTCCGTATAGACACAGTGACTGTACACTAACTGAATTGCCTCTCTTCCATATCCCTTCAATCTGCTTAGTGAGTTTTTAGCAATACAAATAGGATCCTGAAGTAGGTAAGAAAATTGTCCACTAACATAATCAGTAGTGTAAGGTTAGTAAGAAGATAGGGAATTCTGAAAATGCAAAATGCTTTTAACAACAAATCCAGCAGTATAGGGACCAAAATAAGCTAAACACAAATGCAGCAAGTGATAATAGCATGCATAATCTGAGGGGCACTTTTTTCTGGACACAAATCTAGCCACGACTTCTCTTACAGCACAATATTCACATGCCTACAGTTGCTAGAAATTACCCATGAGAATGAGACTTGTCACTGAACAAGGTGCAGCATTAAGTTCACCAACCAAGTCTTTCATCAGAATCACCTTTCCACACAGAAATAGGGAAGGAGAGAGGCTGTCATACATTACTTAATTTCACTTAAATTTGCCAACCCTCCTCCTTCATTGTATTTATTTAAGAACTAGAAAAGAAAGTGAAAAGTATTTATTTGGAGAAGGATTAAAGTGCAATCTAAAATATTCCTAATGTAAAAAGGAAAGTAAAATAACTCAAGGTGTGCTAGTTACAATCTAACAGAAATTTTTTCCCCTTAGTTTGCTTACTACTGATAAGCACAGGAAAATCCTCACCTACATGAAACCTCATCTTATTTCCTCCATGCATTTTTATTTGCAACACTGCTAGTTTAAGATCATCAAATCAACACACTTTATATCCTATTCCAGAGCAAGACATTATATATTGTAGTAATATTTTTCTACATTTTCTCTAATAGAGAACATTCCTGAGCATCCAAGCAGCAAATAAATAAGCAAAGACATTATTTAGTATTATTCTTTGGTTTTGTTGCAAGAGAGACAGAAGAGGTGCCCACAGGAACTGTTTGTTTTGGTGTTTGTTTTTTTGTGAAGGAAAAGGCAGCTCCGTTAAATGAGATAAGCACCCATTTCTGTTACTAACCTGCATCACTAAAAACAAAACGAGCAAGTCTCTTACTGTCTTCATACCACTTTGCACTGTTCTGACACAAACTGCTAGCTAAGCCAAAACTTGACAATCCCATCTGTGTAGGCAGAGGAAATTGTTCCACTGGTATGAAACCTGTTTAGCAACTCTTTACATTTCTCTATACCACAGCTGCAAAAAGCTTGCGTGGGAACCAGTATTTGCATTGTGACAACCTTCATTTCCCATAATGAGGTTAAGTTTACCATCTCCATTCTGGTAGTAGACTAAATCCATTACAAACAGTACTTAAGACTATGTCCATGAACTGATACAGCTCTCAGGGACACCAGTGCCTAGCCCTGTCCACAAAACAACCTTGTGCTTACAGCATTCCTGAGCATGAGAGATCTCAGCTCTCAGTCTACTCACTGTTTTAGGACAGGACAGTCTCCATATGCCCTGCTGAAGCTGTTTCACCAAGCAGACAGAATTCAAAAATCTATTTGACCACAGGGAAATAAAGGAAGAAGGAGGCTTTGTAACACAGTGGTCAAGAAAGAATGGATGGCTCTGGTCCCTGCACTGAAGGCATTGTCACTCATAGCATGTCTTTTGTTCAGTAACTTAGACACTGGATACAGAAAAAGCCCTTAAGGCATGAACAATTCTGTCTCCAACTGGAAGTACAAAAAACTTATTTTTTCTTCTCCCTACCTCCAATCTAACCTATGAGCAGTACACTCTTAAAATTTCTGGAAAGGCAACACCCTTTAGATTCACCTGCCTTCAGGCAACCCCCTCTGCCAGAAGCAGTTCAGTTTTTCCAGGGTGGAGGAGTGAGAAGCAGTTAGAACATGGCTGTAGATAACAACATCTTCCAAGAACTAAGTTACTGGCAGCTGCTTCTTCCTCCTGTCTCAGGGGAGCAGTGTTTCTACTGACCAACACTGTTCTACCTAACACTTCATGATCACCTTTACGCTTCTGCAGAAAGCATCCTTTGAGCAAGCCTCAGACAGCAACTGCAGTGCTTTCTTAGTAGGAGAAAAAGAGTCTGAACTGTAGTGAACTAGAGCTTCTACATGGACAACCACCCGGCCCAGTCTGTGGAGTGTGGAGAGGCAGGGGATGGTACAGCAAGAAAGATGGTGCCTGCTGGCCTCTGGCTCTCAGGAAACACAGTGACCAAGTACAAGAGCAGTTGCTTTCTAGTCCAGTCCAGATACAACATAGGCGCTGAACACTTACAGTGCAGCAACAGTCCTGGCAATCTGTAGAAGCACAAGACAACAGTGACGCAGAAAAACATACATTTATGGATTTATCTATTCTGGGGCCTAGGTGACAGGTGTATGAAATAAAGTGCCTAGAATTTTACCTGCATTAATTGAAAAACATGCAAAAAATGAGAACAGTTTGTATTATCAGACAGGACTATGGTTTCAAAATAAAGGTACCCTGGACCATGTCAGCTCTCACAAATAGATGAACAGCAGAATCCAAATGTAATAATTCCAAGGGACAACTTGGTGGCTGTGGAATTTGGTCTCCCTGAGCCACAGTACTCGGCTGACACCACAGAATGACATTAGATAACCATGACTCTGTATTGCTGATGAGTTTTGATTGACAATTGGATGCAAAAATACCAGGAAATTAATAAAAATTAGATTTCCAAAATAAGATTGGGCAGCAAACTTAGTGCTGAAAGCTTTTTCACCAAAAATTCAACTGATTTAGTCAAGGGAATTGAGTTGCATTAAAAAGTCCTACCAGAAATGCCACAGTAGAATTTTTCATTCCAAACAGATGCATAATATCACTTTCTGACTTATA